CTCACCCATCGGGCTGACAAGAATAATCCCCTGCACCTGGACACCCTGGTTCTTCAGGAGAGCAGTAAGCATCTTTACGCTGGGCCAGCGCACATGGAAGTCAAACTCCTTTAAAACAAAATAAAAAACAATAAAATCAGGGCACTGAAGTACAGACAGCTCTGCAGCTCAGACATGGCCGGCGTGTTGCTACTGCAGTACCTCCAGCAGGGTGAGGAGCAGGGTTATGTGCTCTGGGTCCTGGATGAATTTCTCTGTGAACTGGGTCCCAAGGTCGTCAGCCTGCTTCTGAGCGTTTTCATCTGGAAAAAGGAAATTTACCTTCTCAGATAAGATTTTATTTAAATACCCCAACAGGAAACACACTTTCTGGAAGCTCCCATCTTTAAGGAATACAGTGGTAGTATCGTGTTTCATGATGGAAATGCATCATAAAATAGGTTTTTTCCACAATTATGAACAACTGTATCAGTTCTAATCTATCATAACAAACTGTTTGGCTGAGCCAAGATGATACGGGACAAAATTCACAATCCACTGGACTATCAACTTCACATAGTTAAGTATTGGCAGATTTTTTTCTAAGGAATGTAATTAAGTTATTCATGGATTTTTTTTCAGGCAAGTAGGGCATACCTGAAAAAAATGTAGTTTGAGAAGTTAAAATATTAGGTGCAACGCTACTTCACATGCTACTGGCTGATGTTTAGAAAGCAGACAATCAAGGAGCGCCTGTAAATCCACACATTTTAATAACTTAAAAATTTAGAACTGAAATTATATGAAAAGGTAAATACTTGACAGAGCAGTAGATAAATAAAAGATAAACTACATAAAAATATCAGTATTTACTGGGAAAAACAAAGAAAGACTGAGAATTTGAGGAAAGATTCAGCAGAGAGCACTGTGGGGTTAGCGAAGCATTGGTGTTGCAACTCAAACACCTTCCTGGATATTAGAGAACTTGGTTGGTTATGTTTTTAGTAACTTATCAACAGCAAGGTTGCCTTTATTTCAGTAATGAACAAACATAATAATATGGTTTCCTGTGACACAGAGGGAAGGATGGGAGGGAGGAACTGCTTTTAATTTAAGCCACAGCTGACAGATTCTCATGAAGGCATGCCATAAAAACATATCTGAGTAATTCAAATGTTTTTAGGATGCTCAAAGTGGAAAAAAAACAACAAAAATAACAATGAACTTCCTTCCACATTCAAAACAGAAGGAGCATGTGAACTGGCAGGAGTTGGTGGTTAAAAGTGTTTGCATCATGCACAGTAAAATATTTTTACCTTCTGATTCATCTGTAGGGTTAACACATGAAAGAGAAGAGAGAGACACGAGTCTTTACATGACGCAGTCATGATCCATATATGGTGGAGGATGCAGACTGAATGAGGTCCAACTCAACACTTTTACACATGCAAACATAAAACTGAATCTGCAGCTGCCAAACATTGAGGAGGAACAATATTCTGACTAGATTTTGTTTGAATAGTGAAACTTTGCAGTAATTTATGCCTCATCTGAGATAAAAACAGTAGTACCTTGTTCTTCCTCCTCATCGTTGCTGATCACATTGTAGAGTGTGTCCAAAGCATATCCCAGGATTTCTGAGTCTGATCTGTTGAATTTAAAAGGGCAACATCATTTACTTAATGCATTTCATTTCTGAATTGTGAAAACAAGCAAATCTAAAAATTGCTGCAACACACTGCACTAAAACTCCAGAAGCAAGCTTTCTGTAGGTCATCATTTAACATACAAAGAGCCTGAAGGTAAAATCATTGTTTGGTCAGCAGAAGATATTGTTTTTTTCACTACATAAGGTTGAAAATGGGAAAAGAAGAGCAAGAAGGAAGCCAAGCTGGGGCAGCTACTATCCAGTAGCTTGCCACCATCAGCGTGTGAATGACTGAATGTAGCATGAAGCACTTTGGAGGCCTGTGGACTTGATAAAACACTGTACAGGCCATTTGACAATCATTCTCTACTTTACAATAAATCTACCCTACAAATTGAGACTGCATGGTTTTCTGTGAATAACCTTAAAAAAACAGCTTGGATCAAACACTTCCCATCCCTCCTGCAAAATCTGTTATTTTGAAATGCCTGGTAATATCGCAGAACCTTTGCATACCTGTCGGTGTGCAGAATGTTTATCAAGTGATCCATGGCCTGTGCGCCAACTTCCATGCGATATTTCTGCAAAAAGGTCAAAATTTCAGTTTCTGGAAATAGTACTTTGTCGTACCTTTCAGAAAGAAAACCACCTCTTTTATATTTTTACCTTTGAGAGGGACTTAAGCGCTCTGACGGCATCTCTACGGTCTTCTAGTAGTGTTGAGGAGGCGACTCGGTCACACAGTTTCTGAATCTGGTCAGAGGGAGAAAAAAACCCAAAAAGCTAATGATTTGTGAGAAATAAATTAATTTGTTCTACAACAGTACATTTTTTGGGTATTGGTGTTATATTTTTGGAAACAGTTGATAAAAGTATGTATGTATTTTCTTTCTGTAAACCTTAAGATGATAGACATGAAAAACTGTTGTTTTTGTTTAAAACATCAGCAGTTTTTGTTGAAAACAAAACTGCTAAGTTTAAGTTAACCTATGTATGTTTAATTACTTCAAAAACTCCAAGAAATACACTCTTATTTCATTATATTTACTATTTTTGTTAAATCTTGTTATAGATTTAGATTGCCAGCTCCCACCTCTGTATTGAGAACTATTTATTATTTGACTAAATTCTTTTTAGAATTTGTACCCTTGCCAATATAAATTGTATTTACTTCTGTAAATAAAATCTGATAACTACATGATAATTATGGTAGATAGCGCAAACAATTATTGGTTTTGAAATCAGAAGCATATGTGGAGGTTTGAGTACTTTCAACAGACTATAGCAGCAACACGCATCAATACTTTGCTGTAGACCTGCAGGGAAGAATCTGCTGATTGTGTTTTTAGATTTACAAAGCGGAATTACCAGCTGATCCATCTCTAGATCTGATCAAAGCTCTTACTAACGGTCATACAGTTTGTGATTCAAATGAATTTTGGAAATTAAACACTGGTGATAGGAACTTCTTTTGGCCATTTTCTTCGACCAGCTTTAAACAGTTTGAAGTCAGTTAGCAGGTAAATTTCACCCATTAACAGCTAACTGACAGATTTGCTATCTTAGCTATTTAGCATGGCTAGCTTTCTGATTCAGAACTGTCTGTCTCTCATAAGTAATTTGAACGCCATAAGAAAAAAAGTAGAGGTTAACATTAAAACACAGGTGTGCGTTAGTGTGCATACATTATTGAGCAACGTGTTTTTACTTTAGGTGAAACGTATGAGCCACAGACCGGAGCAACAGCTAATTGATTAGCATTCCTACCGTCTCCGCTCCTGACGGTTGCGGCCCGGCAGTCTGTCCTCCCATCACTCCCCTGAAGAAATTCATCCTGAATGTTAAATATCCAACGTTTCTGAGTGTTTAAAGGAAGAACCTTGTACCTCAGAGACAAGAAAGTGTTTATAAAAACGAGAAATGAAGGGCTTTGGTCGAATTTCTTTCACTGACCGAGCCCCGGAACACAAATGAGGCCAGCGCGCATGCGCGCAGACGTGGCGATACGTGGCCGATCAGCAGCTGAAGGAGCTGATTATTTAAAGGGCCAGTATACTCATCAATTTTTAAAAAGCTATTCCAACCTGGATTGGTTTAAACAGGTATTGCAATCTTAAGAGTTAATATTGTTTCTTTTGACTTATATGCTGTGAAAAAAATATTATTAAACCAACTCCCATTCATTTATAAGATCATCAAAGAGTAAAGCCTCTTCAGAAAACTTTAGTGGTGGTATTGAACTAATTTTCTTACGAGTCCTAACAAATATTGTGAAGTGAAACAGTAACCAAATTTGTAATGATCCAAATCAAAATTATTTCTCCATTAGCGTCTAATGACACTGGTTGAAAAACTTTTGTTTCCCTAATAACTTCTTAAGGCAGACTAATTGTTTCTAAGTTAGCTGAAATTGCCGAGAAAGTAGTTACTAATTTCAGACTACATTTTAACTCTCATGCAAATAAAACTGACTGTGATTCTTGAATCACCATCAGAACTTTTATTTAGATGCAGATCCAGTGAAGAATTTAAAAGTGAACACCTGCAGTAAACAAATGCAATTATTCTACCAGTGATAGTGAAATTTGGGTTCTAAGTTCAGAAAAAGATACCAGAAGACATAAGACTGTTCTACAAAGAGCAGCTTCAGTCAGAGGCTTCTTCAGACTCCCTGGAATACAGACAGCTGCATGAGATCCTTCCAAGTTCTTCAACAACTTAAAAAAAGTCTTGGATAAAATGAGTTATATTTCATTTCACTGGAATCAATAATTAATCTTTTTAACTGATTTGTGTACATTATCTCAAAGTTCACAGCATCTAAGATGTGACACAGAATGACTGATGGGACAATACACCACTTTGCAAAAGCATCCAGGACATGACAACCACAAAATTCATTTTATTTGATAAAAACAAATGATAAACATCAGCCTGGTTGTACTTTTTATGTTCTTGGGATGCTTTTTATCAGAAGTGCTGATTAAAACTTGTCAAGTCTGCAAAAGCCTTCAAAATACAAATGCACACCACATTTTCCAAATTTTTTTAATTTTAATTGCTATAAAAAAAAACTAGGTATCATTTTTCTTCACAATTATAAACTGTTTATCACACGAAATCCCAACAAAATGCTTTGAAGTTTGTGGTTTTAATGTGAAAAAAGGCAAAGTAAGAATAAAATTTAGGATTGCAGCGTATCTTTCATATAGGCGAATCAAACAAAGCAGAGCTTTACTGCATCACAGGAAGGAGAAAAAAAAAAGAAAAATTTTAACATTGTACAACCTGCAGATGTCACTCACTCATTTCATTCTTTAATCTTCGAAATTATCTTCTAAATTAGCTGTAAACACAACAATGTGAGCAGAGCTGTTATCAGTAGTTTATTGTATTTAAATCCAACACATTCAGGATTGCAAAAGCGGGAAAATAAAAGAAAATCTAAACTAAAAACAACTAAAAATGAAAGAATTCTCCACCTGCAACATTTTGCACTAGAATAAAAGTTAAAGGGTAAACACAGTAAAACTATGATGGCAGCCAGCTGTTCACCACAACTGCTAATGCCGGCAAGGCATTTCTGTTTTCACTTGGAAAGGGCTGGAATGGTTCGTTTTAATGAAGGGGGGGATAAATTTACAGATTCACTTTTACCTCGGACTGGATTTGGACACAAAAGAGCAATCTGGAAAACTTACAGACTGGAAATTTAACAACTTTTCCATTAGTAATATGTATTGATCTGAAAGCATGATGGCTCTTCTTCACCCTCTCTCCTCATGGACCACTGCTGTAACGCCAACAGCCATGACTGCACGCTGCTATGGTGACAACTGTAAAGTCCAATTAGCTTACAGCCATGGGTTTAAGCCACTGATGCAGATGTACAAGCCAATTAGCTTAAAGCAATGACTGTGAGTGCGACTGTGTCACAGCCATGGCTGTAAGCAACAGTAAGTTGAATAAGTATAGTCCAGCTGTAAGATGTAAAGCTGGAAAGTCTGATCAGCTTACAGAAACGGCTGTGAGCAACTATGACAGATGTAAGATCCAATCGGCTTGCAGCCACATCTGTAAGCTTATTGTGAGAGTTTAAACACGTCCAGCTGAAAAATTGACAGCTGTAAAGTCAAATCAGTTGACAGTTGTAGTCTAATGACAGATGTAAAGTTCAATGCTGGAGAAATTTTCTTGAAAGTCCTGTTGCTCAGATTGTCCCAAGAACCTCAGAATTAGTGCAACACCAGCCAGATGAGGAAGACCAAAGTATATTTGTCAAAGAATAAGAACAAAAAAGAAAAATGCTACATCATTTAACTTTTCCATTTCAGTGCAACACAAAATAATCACAAAAAAAAAAATAAAATAAAGAAATTAAACGCTCACGTCTTCCTTTCCCCGACGGAAACCGAAGTCTTCCCTCCCTACCGGATGATTCAAAAGCAAAAAACTGATCCCGTTCAGATGAGCGCAGCGCTGACTAGTTTGGCCGTAAGCAGGAAAAACAAAACAAAAAAACGACTACAAATGAGCACAGTGAATGTTCAGCATATGAAAATACAAATGCATTGACAATAGAAAAATGTCCACAATTATTTACTCGACTGAAGGCTGCAGGTACAAAACTGTTGGGAAACTTGTGAGTCCAAGAATTATCCAAAGTGCTGCCATGAGGTGCAAAAATAAAAAGGTTCAACAGTAAACCAAGCCCACGTCGAGCCGCGATCTGGAAAACCAGGGATTAAACATTTCATCGTCACCATCGTTACTGTACCTTTTGTTTTTGGGAGGGGGGTAAAAAGTTCCTTAGATGCATTTATTAACTATTTAACAAAACTGCAGGCACCGGTTGTCTCTACAAAACCCAAAAGAAGACAAATTACAGCAAAGAAAAATGTACAAAGCTCACAGCAGATCATCTTAGGTAGTTGAACAGTACAGAAAGAGTGAAATCTGCCCCTGAAGAACGTAAATCCTATGAATACTGTGTTATTTCCGTCTGCTCCCTGCAGAGAATAGTTCAAAAAGGAGCAGCTCTTTTCACCCCGAACCGCTTTGCCCTTCAGTAAGACTTGAAAAGGTGAACTAGAAGGCACCATCATGCTTTTTTCTTTTTTTTCTCATTAAAATCGAGTCGAGAGAAAATAAAAATTACACACAGAAAAGCAAAGCATACAGTAAACCGTGATTTTTGCTGTACATTTATTCGGTTACTCCGCACTCATGACAGGAAGGGAGGAAAGGTTTCGCTCATCCCGGATTCGCAGTCAAGAAAAACAAAAAGCTGGAATCAAAATATAAACAGCAAGCTGCCATCATCCATCTGTTGCTCCTCTGTCCCCACCGCCCCACTCACTCGTTTGGTTAAAGGTCAAGTCCAGGTTGAACTTAATTTACAAATGACAAAAAAAATTAAAAATAATGTTGTAGATTTGCTTGTCCATCCAGCAGTGACTGCAGAGTAGTTTTGGGTCAAACATTGGAAAAGTACATCGGTCACAGCAGCCAGGCTGTTTCGCTTCTCTACAGCCGCGGTCCAACGAGGACGACAACATAACGAGACACAAGTACCTTTAGTGCATTATGCAATTCTGTAGCAGTGGTCTCTTTTTCTCTGAAAAAGGGAAAAGATGAAAGGCTTTTCCTCCGAAACTGCAACCAATTCTGCATCTCACTCTTCCTTGACAATAACGGGCAGAAAACTACAATATAAAATGTGCAATTGAGGAATTTCATGAATCAACACCTCAAGTTTAAGTCAAGGTTTATAATCTCTGAAAGTGATGGGCTGCACTGCGGTAGATTAAAAAAGTCTCATCAGTCCCTCCGAAATGTGGCAGATTAGTCCTGCTTGGGTTGCCTTTATTCACAAATTGACAAATTCAAGTTTGAATTCTTGAAATACCCCCAAAAAAGGATGCTCAGCTCACAACTAATCAGCGAACAATTTTTTTTTCTGTTTGCTTGTTTTGTCTATTTCACAAAGTGGTCGACAGACTGTGTCACATTCCAAAGCAAGAAAAGGAGAAAAAAAAAAGGCAAAAAAAAAAAAAAAACAAAGAAAAAGAATACACCACCAATTATATACTTTATACATTTATGAGTACGGCTGAGGATGAGGAACACGATACTACTTCCACACTACAGGTGGCGCTCTTCTCAGCGGCGCTGCGGGGTGAAGCGATTCTCCCCCTGCCCGCCGGAGCCTCTTCCAGGACCCATGCTGGGTTTGGGGGCCATGCCGCCTCGGGGCGGCGGGCCCCTCCCGTCGCGTTCCCGCATCATTCCGGGTCCCACGATGCCTCGTGGACCTCCCGGGCCCCGGTCGCTGCGCCGCATGTCCCGACGGTCGTCTCCGCCTCGGGTCTCCCGCTCGCGCACGGCCCTCGTCTTCTTCTCCTCCACGTTCAGGCGCACCTCACCTCGAAACATGATGGGCTGCAGAAAGAGGGGGACAGTCACTACACTGGAACCACAAGTTGGTCTCAAACGCAGTTTAAGCTTCATCACTGAATGACATTTCAGAAGATAAAAATTTTCAAGGCCCAAATGTGGATTTGATACAAAGCAGATTGGACCCAAACACGGTTTGGGTCCAGCAGGCAAACGTGACCCAGCAGGCAAACGTGACCCAGCAGGCAAACGTGACCCAGATCCACCTTTTTCATGGCAGTCTGAACAAACAAAGACCAATCTTTTCACAACTTCCCCCCAAAAGAAAGCAGATCTGTGTCTAAACCAGTCGCAATAAATCAACTTACTGCATGATAAATTCAATAATCTTTGTTTGGATGAATTATCACTTTTTTTCTACCAAAAACTGGACGACAAAAGTCTTGAATCTTATGTTTTGATTCAACTATCCTTTTTTTTTAAACAATTTTATTTTTTTGTTTCTATTTTGTAAATTAGAAATGTTTGAGGTTGTAAGCTGTTCACAGAGAAGTCCGATTCAGGTTACATTTAATTAGAAGTACTAACGAGAAAAAAACAATTATTACAATACAGCATCAACACCTGCTGTGTGAACCTCGTCTAAAGAACCAATCCTTCACATTCAATTTTCAGGCTTTAATCTGAAGTTTTGAGAATTTAAACCTGTTGACTGAATTAGTGGGAGAACTAGACAAAAACAATGCAAACTGACATTAATTTTGCTTGGCAAAAGTGGTTTATAAAACAGCTTCTGCTGCTTTGTGACGTTTTTTAAGGGTGCACTAAAAGTGTGACAGGTGAAGCTGATCTTCTCCACCTCAGCAAAAGTCTAAAAATCTTCGGCTCCTCAGTGAGAGTCTGACTGACAGACCGGCCCACTGGGTCAACATTTGCAGTTGACTATAATCATCCCACTGTTGCCAACTCAGCATCTTTCTTGCCATGTTTAGCAACATTTCAAACAAAAAAGAGTTATATGCCAAAATCGGTATTAGCAGGTCGGGCTTTTTAAAGATGAGTAATTGGCAATCTGATCTGGAATCAGTGCACCCCTCGTTTTCTTGACTTGCACTGATTTTAGGAACAGCTGGAGCACTGAAAAATTAAATAAAATCTGGAAACAGCAAAGTTTACAAATGATTCAAGCACAACATTGAGTATGAAAGCAATGAATAATCCACACACAAACACTAACAGGTAATGATATGAAGGGAAAACGAAAGGTTCAACTACTTAAATATGTCACCACACCACCACCAAATGAAAGTGGGTAATGAAATGTTGATACATGCCCCTTCTACCTTGGCCCCCAGGATTCTCTGCACGGGATCAGAGTCGTCGAAGACCACAAATCCAAAGTTGGGCAGCTTTCCACCAACTCCCTTGGTGTTGATTCGCAGCTCCACCACGTTGCCGTATGCTACGACAAGACAGAGCGAAAAGTTTTAGTCGGGAGTGCCGGATGAGCGCTACAGAAACCGAGGATGATGAGGATAAAAATAAACGTACTCATGAAGAACTCTTTGAGCTCAGCCTCGTCGATGTCGTGCGGGAGGTTGCCGACAAAAAGCTGATGGCTGTCAGGGTACCGCACGATCCGTCTGCCGTCCATGTCTCCAGATTCAACATCTCTTCCACCTGCAACGCAGCAAATCATCCTCGTCACAAATTAATCTTCTTTATATACTGCAAAAAACGCAAAGTCTTACCAAGTATTTTTGTCTAGATTCTAGTGAAAATATTTTAATACACTAACTTACAAGAAACTTTTCAGCAATAAATAAGAGCTGATTGTAAATATAATTTCTTGGTATTCATTTTAAGTAGTAGTAATTCCACAGGCAGATCATTTCACTTATAACAAGACATTTTTCCTATGTTATAAGTGAAACAATCTGCCTGTGGAAATAGTACTTTTTCATTAATATTAAGGAATTATTAACTTAAACGAAGCTCCAATTTCTTACTAAAAATGATTTGTAAGTTAGTTTGTCTTATTTCAAGTTTTCTGCAGTAATTATATTAGAAAGTAGAGAAAAGCACTTTAGACTTTGTTTTTTGCAGTGTAAATGGTGTGAAGTCAGATAAAAGCAGAGCAAGCGGCATATTTCTATACCTTTGTTGACAAAACTTAGGTGTGGTTTCCCCGTTTGTGACTCTGAAGATGGAACACCGTCTGATAGTGACAGAGATGTGCAGATAGTGAGAAGAAGAAATAAAGAGGAAGAGAAAGGAAGTGGGTAGAGAGGTCATTACCGGGTCGGGGACCTCGCTGGCTGAAGGTCGGTCTGTCACGGGTCCGCTGGTCTCTGGGGCGGAGAGGAGTTGCCTGCGTCTCCTGCTTGGCTTCAACCCGGGGCTGAACAAACATGACGTTAAAATAAATATGACATCTACCAACTTTAATTTCAAGATAGAGATCAAGTTATGCTTGGGGATTTCAATTGTACAGAGATTTTCTTGATTTTTATCTCCACAGTTGTGTGATTGCCTCAACTAAAATGATTCATTTGCAGCACCAAAAACAGATGTAATAAGTTTATTTTCTTGAGTCATTTCAACCCTTCCATACACAAGACAAGCAGAGCAGATAAAAATGCCTAAACTTGACTAATTTAACATTTTTTAAATGACATTTAATTTGTGATGAACATAATATATAATTCACCAAATTTACAAAAAAAAAAAAAAACAACAAAACCGTGAACACCACCAAATGATCTCCATTGTGAGGTGAGTCTCACCAATTGACTGGACCTCTGTTGAAATAGGTCAGTCACTTAAAAGGAGGTGAATATTTATGCGATCACTAATTTTATGCTAAATATTTATATTTAATTAGAATTATTTGGTGGAAAATCAGTTCTCTTTGACCTGAAAGACATTTTTGTCAATTTGATCAAAAACGCCAAATTGTGTTGATCATGATTAAGTTGCACAAACATCCAAGGGAGTAAATACTTTTCAATGCCACTGTATCAAAATGAAAAGAAACAGAAAACAATTTTTCTTCACTAAATTGCTAAATCTACAGTTGATCCTACTTTCAGCAAGTAGTCTTTTTAATCAATTTAGATGACCAGGTTAAGCTGTTTAAACATTCAACACCCTCTAGTAACAATCTAAACCATTTACTTTAATCTTAAGCTCTATAAAAACCAAATCCAGGAAATAATCATAATTTTTGATCAAATAATAAATGCTGAGTTGACATGCACACGGCTCCACACTCCTCCACCCATTTATACAAAAAAAACAAAACAAAAAAAAATATAGCAAATCCAGTTTCACAATGCTTAACAACACTCTGGACCAGATGTTTACCTGTGAGCTTGGAGCTTTAACAACATGTGGAGAGAGTCCAGAGGAGGTGACTGTGCCAGAAGGAGGCAGGTTTTTACTGGTCACCGAAGCCCAGGAGAAAGGCTGCAATAAATGCAACGACGCATCGTTAAGGCTGCACCAACCATGCTGCATAACAACTTCAACTGCTGGACTGTTTAGCTCAGCCGTTACGTCGTCTGTATAAAGTCACTACATTATAATTATACAAGTGGTCTAAAACTCAATTTTTCCAAGGGCCGGTGTCCTGCAACTGTTTGACGTCGCTGCGCTTCAGCACATCTGGCTGTACCATCATCTCGTTAGCAGAGCTGCTGGTAAGGCAGTGTCATCATTTAACTCAAGGATCCTGTCCCTTGAGGAATGTAGTTTAACTCCTGAATTAGACTAATAAAAAAAACAGGATTGTTTCGTCAACGCTTTCTTGCTAATGAGAAGCCCTTCTTCTCAGCTGCAAGTAACGATTATTTTGCATAATCATTCAACTGGATTCAAAAAAAGAAAAAAAGGATATCCTACAAGTTATTGTAGGATATCCTTTTCAACTACTTAAGCCTTTTCAATACTAGATTGGAAATACATTAACAGATGAAAAAAATAGTTCCATTTCTTTTTCAAAATAAAATAATAAACATTTTATTGTATAAAATGCAACAAAATTCCTTTATTGAATCTGAACTGAGTGAAGTTAAGCTATTCCACCTTAAGGGTTTTGGTTAAAACATATTTATAGACAAAGGTGTTTCTACCATAAAGGGGCATTGTTATCCGTTATATTGCCATTTTGTAGCACAGTCAAGTAACTATGTTGCCTTCAGTTGTTATAAAAATGCTGTATATATCAAATATGACATAGAAGAAACTTGATATCATAATTTCAAGCCTTAAAATTGAGCTTGAGTCTCTTAAAAAAACCTCCTGCTCTTTCTGAAACTCCACATTCCCTCGTTTTTTGTTGTTTTTTTAAACCAGCGTTTCACTGGGAAGTACCTCCTATAATGAGCTCAGCAGATACATAGTCCCACCAGGTGTTTGCTAATTGCTGCTGGCTAGTCTGAAGGAGCTGAGTGAGTGAGTTAAGAGGTTGTTCTGAGAGGTGGAAGCTTGTTAACTTGTAATCTGCAGCTCAGAGAAGCAGCTATGCCTCAAAGGCGGAGCTAAGTCCACCCAGGTGTTTTGCACAGCTGAATGGCTGCCATGGAGATTAAAGGATTTTTCTAACATGCATGAAAGAATCAAGGAAACACTTCAAGTATGTTTTTGATGAAGGAATAGCATTACAGCATGATGTAAAGCTAAAAAAAATTATCAGTCTTACATAATACTACCTCTTTAAATTCAAAATGTGTACATTTTTTGTAACTTTGGCTTAATTACTGCCCATAATAGGGTTTTGTTTTCCCCACCAGATGACCTACTGTTAGTCTGTATACGCCTGTAAACGCTTTGTTAGCCACTTCAATAATTGATTAATCCTTTCAGACCTACATATCATAATTTGTAGGTCTGAAATGGTTTTATAGTTAATAGTTTTTTTAGTTAATAGTTTTTTCTTAATATTTGCTTAGGAAGACATAACATTTACAGTAAATTCTGATGTTGTGCAGTTTGAATGAGGCAAATCAACCAACCTTGGCGGGCTCCTGGGCGTTTGGTGGAGACTCCACTGGTGCCGGTGAAGGCATCTTCTCCTCCATTTCTTCCATCACCTTTTCTTCTACCTCAGGTTTAACCTCCTCGACCTTTGGCTCCTGCTCAGGTTCCGGTTCCGGTTCTGGGGCTGGCTCCTCCATGGGCTCCTCCACACCATTACTGCAGGGAACAATTCAGAAAGTGGTCTAATAATGGAAATTGTCAAAAAATATATTTCAAAACTAAAAATCCCAAGTCCCCCCAAGAAATATCACAAATTGAGAATCGTAACTCATATCATCCAAGTGTCTTCAAACAGCCTCTGTGGACGTTGTCGATAACAATCAAACGTTTTGACAAAAACATGAAATTACAGCAATAAACCATAATATTGTCAATTTGAGACCATTTTCAACCAATATAATGATAACGTAATAAAGCAAGTCCATTCTCCCACAGATCACTAAAACCATAATTTCTAAAGGAAAACCTAACATTGAAACTGGACGAGATAGTAAATATATAGAAGAACAAAACTCAAAACAATAAATAAAACTAAAATGAAAACCTCCAAACTGAAACAATAAATAAAATGAATTATTAAATGTCTTTATGCAAAATTGCCCTTCAATAATTATTATTGATCTCCAACATGGAAAAACAGGCATAACTACAATCTAGGAATTTGCATAAAAAACAATAAAAATAAAAAATATGTAAATTAATACTTTGTTTTTCTATAAACCTGTGTCTGGCCATGAGGTTAGAAAGCGGGGTAGAGACAGATGTTGGAGTAGGGGACAAGAGCCTTGCCGTTATGATGGATAGATAGAGATGGACTGAACTTCCTCTTCCTCTCTCTGCATCCATGAAGGCTCCTTCTAAACTCCGGTCAATCATTTTGAGTTTCAGGCATTTTCTTTAACTTTCAAGATGCTAATCAACTGCTCCCAGTTGTAACACCACTTTGTTGCCACCTTTAACGCATCACAGCAACTGTTCAAACGGCATCCAAAACGAAAGGGAATAATTATCCAAACATGAATCGCCTCAATTGAAGGAACAAGTCAGAGCTGTTCCAACATCCTGCCACCATAAGTGCCCTAATTAAAGAATCGAATTCCTGAAATCTGAAATCGAGACTCATCCACCCAGGCAACATTCTTCCAACCTGTTTTTGTTTAATTTTTATGAGCTTGTGTGAAATGTGGCCTCAGCTTCCTGTTTCAAACTCAAAGCAATGGCAGCCACATTGGTTTAATAGCCGGTATGAATCTTTCCCTCAGACATCAGTAAGACGCTTTTAATATACACATCTTTGTGGTGCTTTTATAAGTAGTCCGTTGTGGGACAAAAGTGACTTTTTCTTGAGTTATCTTGCAAAAGGTTTTGCATTTCCTTGTGACAGATTTGGCATTCTTTTATAATAATGCGCCTCATAAGGTTTTTGTAAGGATTTTCTGTGTCTAATACATCTGTTTTCAAAGAGTTAAGAAAGCTTAAAAGATATTTGCAATTTCAAATTGGCATTTGTTATCACAGTGACTGTTTACAAAATAGATCAAGGTATGTTTGTTCATTTATTGCAAGGAAACGCAACAGAAAAAAAAAATCTCACATGGCCCCTTGGTGCTTTTATTCTGAAAACCCATCCCATCTGGCACCAATAACGACACTGCCGCATTGAAAGACACTTAACTCGCCTCATTCTGATCATTTGAACCTTACAAGTCGTATTCATCACATCTAGCTGCCTAAATGTTTTAAGCTGCAGCCATCTGATTGACTAATCGAAATGTGTCCTACAAACTGGCCAATGAGTTTAATTACAAATTTTCACCATTTATTCTCATATAAACAAATGAAAACTACATTTGAACCATATCCAATCATATTTATTACCACATATTTTTGTAGAATGATTATTAACCAGTTACTACATTTTAATTTCTTCTGAAACGTTCCTGCAGACATACCTGCCATAATTAAACTGAGCTGGTATTTATCAGGCTGGTAAACTAGTTTTCCATGCAAATGATTGGCCTCTCAGGGAGCAGCTAATGCTGCACATTTCCTCTCTCTCTTTCAGCGCTGCATTACCTAACTGAGACATTCCAGTCAGATTTGTTGTAAAAATGTTCCCGTTATTGACTGGAGACCTGCGTCTGATAGCTGTGGAAAGTTTCTCGATCCATCCTGTTGTATTCAGGTTTCGTTCACTTAAAAGTCTGTCAAATTGTCATTAAATAGAGCAGCAGCCATGCTTTCACAATGTTTGTCCTGAATAGCACCAAACCTAAAAATAAAATAAAAAAACACAAATAGCAGAAACGATGCCAATATTAAGGATATTATCAATAAAGAAAAACAGCAAAAGCAAATGAGGTGGATTAGCAGTAATTCATAACAGACATTGTCATCAGACATGTTACTGTGGAAGATCGTCTCCGCTTCTTCCATTCTGACTCTCATAATGGCTTTAAGACTTGTTCCTGTAGCTAATTGAATACATAATGGTAGAGTGGGCAACTTTAGTTGCTCAGATATATGGTATTTTCTTACGCAACAGGGTGAGCTTCATAGTAGGTGGTGCTGTTGGGACTTTCCTGAAGCGGCTCTGGGGACGCCTGCCTCTCCTCCGGCTCCTCCTCAACCTCCTCCTCTGATTCTAGATGGGTCGAAGACAATCAATCAATGGCCGGATGTTTTTATTTATTCACTTTTATAAACATTGTATGGAGGTAAATTAATTTTCCATTTTATAATTATCATTCAAAACAACCTTACCTTCATCAAGCTCAGCCTCCGAGTCTCCAAAGACTTCGTCCTCATAGCAGAAGATGTCGTTGTGGACGTAGAACTTGTTTGCCACTGAACCCTAGTGATAGAAAGTATTTTTTGTAAAGGTTCATGTTTTGTTTGGTTAAGCAAGCGATCTCAGGAATAATCTCTTGAGCGCGACTTTATTGAACAGAGATTGAATAAAAAAATAAATAAACCAAGTTATAAACAAGGAAAATAAATTTAAAACAAATGCAAACAAAAGAGGAACAGTAGGAGGTGTATTGACCTGTTCAAATGAAAGTATGAACTTATGTTTACACTCACTCTCATATCTTTAGCATCATCCAACAAACTACTATACACATCAACTTGGTTTTAACATTTTTTGTATTTTCTATGTCCAAACCTAAAACTAGTGCATTCATATTTGCATGCCAGTATAAGTAATCATCATTTTTAACATGTTAAAATCTTTCTAAATCAATATACAATAATGATTGACAATCTCAATAGTTACAATACATTGATAAAAGCAGTAATAAGTAATTACTTCTCATACTGATATACAGTGAAGGGTCATCTTATTTGACATTTCAAACCGTTTGTTTGGACATTGGTTGATTGCCTGACATACAAAATCTATTTCTTGTGATTCTGAATTTTGAACTTTTAAATTCATTTTTCCTTAAATAATAAACACTTTCCTTTTTTAAGGAAAGCTTTTGAATTAAATAATTTTTGGCTTTCAGCAAGGTAACTGAAATTTAACTATGTCAGCAAATATTAATAGTCTAGATTTTTTTGAATAGGGCATTTGTATGATCCAAATAACCACACTTATCAATTATTGTTATTGCAATGTTATTAATGATTGTAATCAAGCTCTTTATTGTTGCACAATAACTCAAATAAGGTACAACTAGGAAACAAGCCAGGACATATTTGACTTTATCTTATGTCTAATTTGAGGCTTTTATGTTATTTTGTCATCAATAATGACTGCAAGTAATATATGACAGTCAATCACTCTTTCAACTCAGCCTTGAACATGTAAATTGTCCTCACCTCTGGAGCAAGCACAAATGTTTGCATGAATTTCCTCATCGGTTGGCCATTGTTGGACAATTCTCCGAGGACCTGCACCACGACTCCATCACTCAGCGTGGCGTGAGCGTCAACATGCCTGATTTTTGTGTGGCATTCACTGAACTGCAATGACATGACCTTCTTGTGGATTTCCTAAAACCACAGAGAAAGAAAAAAAAAGTTGAAACAAAATGACTACTAAAAACATCATCATTCAATGCCAGAGAATGCTGAGAACATTCTGTTCACATCAATTCATCTAATAGAAATAAGTTTTTTTTAGCTTAGTGTTGATTATTCAAATATAGAGTCGTATTTCCCAGAGCCAAATCTCAATGCATCAAGCACTTTAAAAATAAAATCATTGGACTGTGGTTCTTACCGCTTGTCCATATACAGCCTCTGCCAGCTTCCCACTTGGATCAATTCCTCCATGTACATATGAAGAATTCCTCCCATAAAACCTAATGACAAAACAGTTAAGAGTATTCACAAGACTTATGGAGTTGATGTCCACAAAAACTCCTACATTACATTGATGCAATTACCTGTGCAGAAAATCGGGTGCCTTGTTCAAAAGTGTGTAATACTGCCTCACAAACTCCCGCCCTACAAGCAGGGGACTTGGCTTCTCCATCACCATTTCTTTGGTAAACAATATTAAGTGCTGAAACAGAAAAAAACAAAATTTAATTGCTGTCCAATGAAAAAAAATTAATTAGAGTAGACTTTGTGACGTTCAGGTCTGAAAAACCTGGATCTGATTATTCAGATTCTGAATGTTTCAGAAACAATTTGAGTTGTAGCTACATGCTAGACAGAGGGGCTGGGTTTTTATTGGTGGTTCTGGGACACCAATAAAAAGCTTCTCCAAACAGGAAATGGCTCCACAATATTAAATTTTTCATTCATTAAGCATTTACTCTGGACAAAAATGTTACAATAATGATTATGGCAACATTAAGTGCTCATAATATTATGCAGAACATGTTATCTTAAAAAAATAAATCACTTGTCAGTCCTGACCATTTTAACCAATACCAAGATAAACATTAATTCACTGTTGGATACAGGGGACAAACCAGCAGTAAAATGTGAGAAAAATGATAACTTGAAACCAAAAAGTGAAGTAACCCGGAGCAGCTGGAAAAACCCAAAACTCATTGACTTTAATCCAGGTCTGTTTATAATTGAACTTTCAGGTGAATTAATCTACATCAAGCAAACCATCAACAAGGGTGTGTTTGCCCATCTAGCAAAAGGAAGCACAAGATCAGGTATTCCAGATGTGTCCTACTAATAAGGAAAAGATTTTTGTCCGGTTCTGTTTTTGTTTCCAAACCAGGTTTTACCTGTACTACTACATACAGGCAACAACATTTGACCCAATTCAAATCAAAATAGCTTTTAAGCATTCATCATTTACAGTTTCATGCTATAGCATAATAAAAATTACATGTCAACTTTGAAGGTCATCGTTTTTCACTATTGCTATAACTGATACATTTTATTAGCTATAGTAATGGCAAGTCAATTGACAATGTCTGATAAGAGTTGGAACTACAGTTTAAATGAACATGCAATATAGAATAATAAATCTGAGTCAATCTACATCATAAAAGTTCTCAGTTCAGTCTGGAATAACAGGAATAGATTTTTTTTTCAGCCAGTAAAGGATCACATCAAGTGTTTTCTTCCAACAAAAACACTTTCACTTTTTTTTTCTCATTTTGTCTGTGACCTAATTTACCAAATAGGTAGTGAAATCTAAGATTGAACTGAACTGTTTAATTTTGTTATTTCAAACACGTTTGCATGCCTTGTTTTCCAGTACTAATGGCTTTGAAAGAAAAGCCATTAAATATTAAATTGTGATACATCGTAAAAGCTATTTAGCAAGATTCTAAACTTTATGTCATTTATAGATTATTGAATTTAGGGCTTACAGGTCACAACTTTTGAGAGACAGGTATAATTATAATTCTGACTATAAATCAGCCCTGCATTACCATAACTGGAAGCTTACTGAATAAAAAGATGGAAAAAAATAAACGACAACGTAATTTAAACAACAAAAACTGAACGGTCACGTAAAAATTCTTCACAGTGGCTAACATGTTAGCCATCATTGAACTGCGCCATCAGATTCAGGCTAGAAGACAAAGAGGGGAAACCGGCTGTAGATGAAAAGAGGAAGCGACCTGTGCAATCGTTCATGTTCTTAAGTAGGTACAACGATCTGTACTAGAATTAAAACATCGCTTTTAAAGCTGCGTCATACACCTGAACAGCATTTTTATGCATAAATAAATGGCCTGGTGCTTGAGGCCTTTCATGTATTCGCCTGACAACATTTGGTACATCTCGCACATTTGTCGCATGTTCACAGACGACATGACATGACAGATTCACGTCTTTCATGCGTGTCCTCAGGGAGGAGAGATTTCGGGTGAAGAGTGGCAACACTGAGGTGTAACCCTACATCATCCAGATGGCAAACAAGGAGACTGTTCGTGCTCATAAATCGGCCTTTTCACTGTCGAAACAACAGCAACTCTGAGGTTGCTACTTGGCAAGCTAACACTGGCGCTCGCCAACTTGTGGCGTCGTCGCGTTTCCTCCAGCGGTGGGTATTTTTTTATAGTCAAAGAAAGGGTTTTATGTCATTAAGCATCAAACGTTTGCAAAATAACACTAAAAAGGCATAAAATATGTTCTCTTTATACAAAACGCCACAATGGAACAAGTTGTACGCTATCTTGCTTGAAGACAACAAAGGAAGGCAGACTGACAAAGCTACTCAAAATGCCCATATAAATACATAATTATGCGTTCCATGTAAACAGTAACACACTGACTTTTAAACTTCGAACGATAGCTGTTAGTAATCGAGCAGTTGTGATTTGGACTAGACAATGCAGCTAACATCAAGCTAGTTAACACTGCTAGCTCGCCGGGTCATCCTGTAACAGAGCTAACTTACCTTTTGAGGGACCTATCTATGCAGACAGAAGTAAATATAATAAATAAGTACAAGTAACCGGCTGGAAACTGCTCTGAAATACAACGTATCCCAGGCGAAATATTCAATATTTCCCACACTGCTCTCTGAGTGCCAGTGTGGTCCCTACTGAACCAGAGATTGCAGATTTTTAAAGTGATACGTTCCGTTTATTTTTTTACCCCTGGAACCTGGACCTGGGAACCCCGGTGCACGTATTCAACCAATGAGCTGCTTACACTAGGCGGCATAAAATGTGACGTTAAACCATTCGCCCTGCCCATGAAAAACTTTCTCCAGGAACCGTTCCTCTCTTTCCTGAAAAATCACATAGAATAGAATAGAATAGAATACTGTCCCTCCATGTGGAAGTTCAGATGTACCAGCAGTAAAGTGACAGAGAAGTCGAAGTATGAATATCTACATAATAAATAAATAAATACATAAAACAGAGAATAAGAATAGCAGACTGAACAGCAAGATGAATTGACAGCACCTAGAAGGAAACAAATACTTTGCAGTTTTTAAAAATATCTTACTCTGATTCAAATAAATGGGCATCTGAGTAGGACATTCGAAAAATTTACAGAATGTGCTTCTATAATTGTGCATCAAAAGAATAATAAAATATTAGCAAAATATTGAAACACTGCAAATAACAGTTTGTTAAAAGAAGTGATGATCATAGAATCTAACAGCTGCTGGGAGGAAGTCCTTGTTCTGTCACAATAGTACGTTTTATTGGATAATATTGTTGTTTTGAGGCCATTTTCAAGTGATATATTGATATTGGCAAAACAATGCAAGTTTGCAATACATTTTAATTTCATATAGAACACTTAACACTAGAACTGGAAGACCAAAAATATCATCCTTACCCAAACTAAAGGACAGCATCTACCTGCAAAGTGTCTTATTTTATAAACAAATTATTGATATTGTGTATGAAAGTGGTTTATTTTTTGGTTGGAGAGCGAAAGAAAAAATGCACTTTGGTGGATAGTAAAGTTTAATCCCATCCTATCTTAGTAACAGCATTATGGATGAACATTGTTGTGATGATGTGCTGAAGGTGGAGAAAGAGTAAAAGCTTCTTAAACATACAACTTTCTTTTTTTATATAAAAACTGAAAGTAACATAGTTAATTGATTGTGCTATAAAATGGCAATATATGTGCCTGGAAAGTACAGAATACCCCCAGTTAAGATGATCATACTGCTGATTCTAGTATGTTTCTTCCATACATGGGTCAGTGTGAAAACAAAAAGTAACAACCATATGAAGCAATATAATTAGTCTTTTTAAACTGAGAAGCAAAGATTATCCCTTCTCCTGCTAAACATATATTAGTTATTGCAGTTCTAGTAAAGTTATCTGTAACATTGTTTTATTTGTATTGTGTTATATAGAATTTCACCAACACATAAAATAAATATAAAATTTAGTTGCCACTTTTTGACATATTACTATACTTCTTTGCTTTCCAGTCAGTAAGGGGAAAGTGTAAGATGTTTTCAGTCAGTGAGCAGCAACAGGAGTGAGAAAGATTGTGGCGTGTTATTCAGTCCGTCTGCAAACTGGATTTAAGCAGGAGCACGGACAGATAAGTAGTTTAACCAAAGAATGTCTGAGATCAAAAGTAATTATTTCTAATGGCCAAATCAAAGTTCCAATCTTAACCTAATAATTGAAGGAAGATGTTTTGGTGAGCTATAGAAAAGTCTGAAAATCATGTGAAGAAAACCAAACTCAAACTCAGAGCTAAGAGAAGAATGAGCAACGGGGAAGTAAACAACTTAGTGCAAATAATGGTTGACTCCAGAAAACGTGCAGCCAAATTAATTTCTCTGAAGAACTCAGCAACCACCTTCTAGTTTATCGGAGAAAAGAAACCAGGCAGACAGGCATGAAAACAAGAATCAGGTTATACTGAAGAACTGGAGCTACTAAGAAACAGAAATACCTGGAAGGATGACTAATCAGCAAAACCTGTTTCAAGAAAGTACTGAGGAAATCTGCACATCCAGTGCAGATGAATTTTTAAAACTATTAAATAAACAAACGAAAGGAGCAAGAAATGAAGTTTACAGAAATTTAAAAGCAATCAATAAAAACAAAATTCACGGACAATAACTATAGCCCTTCCATTAGATTAGATTAGGATTTAGAAATGTTAGATTTGCAGCCAAACCTTTACCAGTGGATTTAATGAGAACAACATTCATGCTTCTTGATCATTTTCTAGCCTCATAAACTTTTTGATGAATCTTTGGCTTAAAAAAATCACTAGCATCAAGTCAACATTCTTTTTCACACTTTATTTAAACCAGAAACAACAGGAATTTACTTGAATTCAAGCCATGAAAACCAGTGAAATGGTACAAGGTACCAATGGTTGCCAATGCTGTAAAAAATATTTTCTACCCCAGCTGTGGGGATAAAAACTGTCTATATTATCCCAAAGGGTATCTAAATGTTGTAACTCATATCACTCAAGTATCTTCAAAGAGTGGTTCAGGATGGTGATGCTGTGGATAAGAAGGATCTCCAGTAGCAGTCAGTGTTGCAATGAATCTGAAGAGGCCTCTGGCTGAAGACTGTTGCTGCATGATGATCTCATGACTGTCATGATTAGAAAGCCAGGCAAAGAGACAATGGAGTAAGATGGAAGAGATGGTTTGAACTTCATCCTTTTCTCTCTCCTCTTGTATTAACCCCTGTTTTTTAACTCTGATGGGATTTGATGTTAAAGTCTAGATATTATTTGAGCTTTCAACTGCCCCCCAGTTGTAAAAAGCAAAAACAGACCCCACTGCCATTAGTTACACATCCTAACAACTATCTAACAAGTACAACAAAGTAATAGCAAAGACCCATTAGATGCACATCATCCAAAAGCAGAAGGAACAATTGTCCAAACATGTAATGTATTTAGCCCAAAAAGAAAGATGAACAAAAGTCAACTAAAAGAACAAATTAGAACAGAAACAGTCTTCAGTCAGAGGCCTCTGTAGATTTGTTGCAACACTGACTGCTACTGGAGGTCTTTCCTTTCCTCAGCATCTCTACCCACAATGACTCTTTGAAGATACGTCAATGAAATGAGTTTGACATTTAATTTCTAAAGTATTTTTGAAATCAACTGAATTTCAATTGAAAGTTTGAAGACCACGACTTTGACGTCATCGTTGAAATGAGTCTGTTACCAGGGCAACGCCAACCCAAAACAGATGTTAAGGATATATTTCTGTCAAATTTCAAAGCAGTTTTAAGCTTATTCAATAAAATCCCTAAGAATGTAAATATATTTGATTTTTATTCCCTTCTTCAACAGTATTTTGGCCCCCAAGACACAAAAAACAGCTCAACGTTCATAGACGGGATAAATAATCATACAATACTGTAGTTATTACTTCCAGATGTTTTACACGGATAAAATATGAAAAGGCTTTTCCGCTGAGAGTTTTTCCATCCTCCTCTTCGACGCCATGACTTCATGTGAAACCTGAGTCCAGGACGAAGGAGGCGGAAAAAAAGAGGAGAAAATTTGGGGGAACGGTCCGAGAAGAACAAGATGGCTGTTCCCGGACAAGAAAAACATCTCCGCTTTTTCACTTAAACAAGACTTTTTAATTACTGGGACCAGTTTCGCGGTTCCATTTAACTACTTTGTCCACTTTTTGGGAACTATTTTAAACCAAATATGTTGTTCCTCTGAGTCTGGGTCGAAGAAAGTTTTCAAACGGTTGTTACTGGACCAGCAGCGATGTAACGTCTTTACTGTAAAAGACTTAAACTCGTCTAATAGTCAGTATACTTTATAGATACATTTATTAATTCTATGCCAAATACTCTTAATTTATCAGTCCTTGTAGTTTTAGATTTTTATCCTCGTTTTGGGGGATAACCGTCCATATTCCGATGGTCGGAACCGTTCAGAGCAGCTAAACCGACCACCATGAGTTCGTCTCGAGTCAGACCCCAGAGCCAGTCCAGCAGGTCGGCCCAAGGACCGGACTCCAGCGAGGGGATAGAGATGGAGAACATCCAGCACCAAGACCTGGGTCTCGGAGGGGTGATAGGGACCCCGTCTCCACCGTCCAGGCAAGCGTGGAGCCGCGACAACCCGGTGTTCGAGCCGGAGGAAGAGATCATGGAGGCGGACTGGCCTCAAGCGAGTCCCGGGAGAAGGTCGGTGTCCACGGCCTCCAGCGGCAGCAGCTGCAGCAGCTACAACCGCGGGGGCAGCAGCGCCCAGATCCCCCGAGGAGGACTCTACCCGACCCCGACCACAAGCGCCCGGCAGCAGGACAGACATGAGCACCGCAGCTGTTTGAAGCAGATTCTGCAGAAAATAAGAAGTAAGTCATGATGAACTTTAAAAAAAAGTAACATTTTCGCAAGCTGTTGAAAATTAGATTCAATTCATTAATCAGTTCATTTATACAGCATTCAATCACAACAGTTGCCCTCTCAAGGCACATTACAAAAATATTACAGGTCTTTTAAGTTGGAATGTCAAATTAAATTCAGTAGTTTTTATTTAATAGTTTATTTTTCCCAAAGGGAAATTAAATGTTGGCATAACTTATTTTCATCCAGGTATCTGGATGGTGATGCTGTTGGTAGGAAGAATCTCCAGTAGCAGTCAGTGCTGCAATGAATCCAGAGGCCTCTGACTAAAGACTACTGTATGACAGTCTAATTACTGTCACAACATGCCAACATATCCAGAAAGCAGAGACAATATGTCAAATGTCCTCATTGACAGCATCAGTTGTTAGCAAGAATTGCTAATCCACCTTATTCAGTTAGTTTTTTCATTAGATTTTAGAGTGTGTTTGCTTGGATTTATTAGTTAGTATGTGTAGTTATTGTTGAACAACCAACTGAATCTGGTGTTTGATACCAACTTTTCCATGGTACCAAAAAATTTTACCAATTTTTTTTTTGCCAACAGCTTGTGCAAGGAAATAAATACATTTAGAAATAAATAAATTTTGTTTACTATTTACTAATACATAATAACCAAAAACAAAGGATATTACATCTATATTTTCAGTATGTTTTAGTTAGTTTTCTAAATGCATGACATAGTTTCAGTGAGATAGTTCTTTCCTATTAATTGCATATTTATTTATTTCAGTTAACA